AATTATTAAAAATCAACGCGATTTTCTACCGTCTTGAAATTGCACTTTAACCTATTAATGAGCTACAAAACTGCATACCGAAAATTTGACTAAAAGTTCTGAATAAAAAGTTTAAAATTTTCGGGTGCAAATGTTACAGTTTGTTGAATTTTCATAATTTTTGTTCGAAGTTTAAAATGTGGATTTATGTGGCGCTGGGTAGGTAAAGTGCTAGACTTTTATAATGAAACTAGCAATTACCCGGCGCGCCGGCATAGACACTCTTCATCTGTACGAAAAACGATCTACCAATGCTCGTCAGTGTTGCCACTTGAAAATATTATTAGGTACCAAAACACCTACCAAATCAGTTTGCAAACTACCAAACTTTTTTCCTCATTAAAGCTAGATTTCTTGAATTTACGGGATTTTCAGCACAAATAAAAACTACACATATTATTGTTTACAGTATTAGTTAACAATTCATACAAATTTTAATGTTAAACAAAACAAATTCGTGCCTTTAAATAAAAGAATTTACTTATTCCATAAAAATATTTTGCAAAACATGTAAATATCTTTGAGATTAATTTGATTTATTCAAAATTTTTTTTTTTTGTGCGTGAAAAAACAAAATCAGACATTTTATGCAGTTCAATCAAAAAATTCCCATATTACCAATCCAATACACCCACACATTGCAAATTGCCTATTATCATTTTTTTTTTCAAGACGATAAGTAATTTCTCGTTCTATTTCAACAGCTGATCGATCATAGCTTTGGGAAGTTAGTTTTTGTTTGCAGAAAATTGTCTGCTTAATAAAATATAGAAAAAACAAAGAAATCGTATACGTGCGAACAAAGTGAAAGCAATGTTTTGAACGTGTAAACATAAATTAAGCGAACAAATTTTAGTGCTCAATTCGGTTGTATTTTCAAAACATTTTTGCCTACCAAAAGGTTCATCAAACCAACCAAGCTACCAAAGGAGAATGAACCTACCAATTTTGGTCCAATTGGACCAAAACGGCAACGCTGATGCTCGTCAATGAGCGAAACAGAAATCGTTTTGTTTGCACTCTTTTTTTCTTTGCAAAGTTTGTGTCTTTGGACGAATCATTCGTGAAATGTTTCGTTTGTTTTGAACTCTGTGTATGGACATACATATGGATACATATGTACATACATATGATTAGTTTGTTGCGTCAACCACATACTGCACATGACTTCGAAGCGATGCTTTGCCTTTCGGTTATAAATGTGTACACACATACATATGGATGTATTTAGCATGTTCAATCGATTGAATTTCTAGACAACACCACTCTGTGACCGCCAAAATCTACAAATCTGTACAAATGAAGAAATCGTGTCATCTCTGCTTAAGAGTTTATAGAATTGAAGTGGATTAAGCTTTATGTTTTGTATTCGATTTCCAAAAATTTTAAACGTAAATTTTCTGATATATATACATATTTGTAGTACTTAGATTCAATAAAACTTCAATATTGAAATAAATACCTACTAAATATTTTGTTATTTATACAGTGAAAATAACGGGTATGTATATCACATAGAAAATGTATTTTCTGTGCGTTAGGATTACACTATATGTGTATGCCATGTGATACGTTATATATCGCGTTAAAAATTGCCTTGCTATAGACGATTGAAAAGAGATAACTATTCTATTTCATAATAGTAAAATTTCGTGTATAAAAAAGAGATAAACGCTCACACGTACAACAGAGAATGCGTTAGATTGGTCCCGAAGG